GGGGGAAAATGAGGGGAAAAACCGAATTTAGATTTTTTTATTAATATTATTATTCTCCCCACTGGTGCTCGTGGCTTTCCCTCCTGCCCCTGTAGCCCCCCAGCGTGGTCTTAGTTCTTGGAGCCCCCGAGAAGGGGCTTCCAGGTGAATCCTGGCCCTTGTAGACCTCCAGAAAGAGAATTCCAGGGGGATCCTGGTGCTTGTGGCGCCCCAAAAAGGGGCTCCTAGGTCAGTTCTTGTCCCCATTTCCCCCCTAAGCACCCAAAGGGGCTTCTGGTTGGGTCTTGGTTCTCATACCCTTCCAAAACGGGCCTTCCAGGTGGATCTTGGTCCTTGTTGACCCCCAAAAAGGGCCTTCTAGGTGGCTTTTGGTCCACATGGATCTTCATAAAGAGGCTTCCAGGTGGACCTTGGTCCTTGTAACTCCCCAAAAACGGCTTCCAGGTGGCCTCCATCCTCATGGCCTCCCAAAAGGGGACCTTTAGGTGAATCTCACCCCCTTTTCAATCCATCCCAACTTCCTACACGTGGACTTAAGTCCATACCCCTTTCACACCAAAGATGCTCCCAAAACTTGGGGAGCATCTTGGGTGAAATTATAGCTTAGCAGGTAGTTATGGCTTTTTAGATGACATTTTTTGGGGGAGGTTAGTGATGAGAAGTGATAGGGAGATATTGCCAGGGTTAGTAGTGTGCATGGAAGTAGATAGATACCCGTTACCATCAAGTGAGGAAATTAAATCTTCTTTATTTATTACTGAATCGAACATGGAAAGCTCCGTTGGTACCTGCTGATGCCTGGCACAATAAAACTGTCCTGAAATAATAAATGTAGCCAGAACTGTGGTAATATTTTTCATTTTGGTCATCTTAACCCTTTTGCTTGTGCATCTGTGGTCCCAACAGGAACCGAGTAACACATTGACCCACGTCTTTTTGGGAAGGTCTCATGGAATTGGAGTTTGGGGAGCCCTTCGCTCGCCCGTCCTTCCCCATCATCCAGCCCAACGCTTCCTCGCCCAACCAAACAGTTTTCCCTTGCGTTTCTTTGGAGTTATTTTAATTTAAGGGCCCTCCGTTTCCTGCTTATCCTGCTAAAATTCGGCTTCATGCACAGGAGCAGGAAATCTCTGTTCTCTCCAGATAGAGGAGTTTTGTGTGAAATGGCAGCAAGAGAACAACTACTCGACGGAGTTAGCAGAGCAAATCAGAAGCAAATAGGGCCGAGGGGGTGATATTTGCTGAATAAACCCTCCTTTAAAGGCGGGCCGGGGCTGCTTTGGTGACAGGAGCAGGACGTGGTTGCCGGCGACGAGTGTATTTGCATTAGCTATATGGCCCCACGATGAAAGCAAATATGTTATCCCACTTGTTCTGCCTGTATTTGAATGGAAACCGCCCCTGCGGAGCGGCCTTTTCCTCCAGGAACAGGGAGGAGGCTGCAGCCAACTCTCACTCCCCTTTTTTGTTTTTTTTTCCCCTTTAATTAAAGCAGAAAATCATTTCTTAATCAAATCTGTGCTTAAAGCCTGCTCTGCTTTGAGAGAAAAAACATATTAAAGTAATAAAATCATTTCAACCGTGTTTGGCAAAGCTGGCATCTACCCAAAAGGACATCAGAATGTTTATTTATTTATTGCTACCCGGTATCAGCAATTTCGAAATTCCAAGAAGAGCTTTGAAATGAGACCTCATTTCTGCACCTACAAGGATGGGTTAGATCCAAGGCAAGTGTCTGCGGGAAGGGGCGCTTCCCGGCTCCGCCGGCAATTCCCGCTGTTTCCCATTGCTTTCCCGAGCGTGTGGGCACGCACCCCGGGGGCACTGAAAATCCAAACCTTTATGACAGCATCTTCATCTATTCCGTTGCTTTTCCCCAAGCGTCTCCAGGTTTTTGGCATTTTTCCTATTACGCAGCACCCAGGGAATGATATATTTGAAGGGCAAAGCCCAGGTTTTCATTTCGCAAGTTTTCCACCACGCCGGCAATTGCAGAAAGGAAAAAAGGTTGTGCAAAGTAGCAGCCAGTTTAAATAAAATTAATACCATTATTTTATGGTATTAATACCATAAAATTGTACAGTTTGTAAACAGGACAAAGCTGTTTTGCACACAGCGAGCCTGGCTCTTTCCAAGGTATGAAGAAGTCCGGAATGAAATTATCTATTAAAAGGGTGAATGTTGGGTAGCAGAGAAGCAGGTTTTTTGGGAAGCGAAGCAGCTCCCAAACTGGTTTGTGCGACGGTTGATGCTGCTGCTCCAAAAGGCAGCGGAAAATCCCGTTTTGGGGAAAAACGTTGCCCTGGCAACCGAGACGGATCGTTCAACTGGAGAATTGCAACTAACAGAGCAAAATGGTATCAAAATCAAAAATAAGGAAATTATGATGATGGGTGGTGCACGGAGCAAAAGGAAACACAGGAGCACAGGTTTCTTTGATATACAAAATAATCATATTGCACTATAAATAAAACAAGTTAAAAAACAAATAGAAAAACACCTCTTGTAAGTGAGGACATGAAATTCTTCCGTTTTCCGAACATGTCGGGATAAATAGCAGGAAAAGTTCGAAGTTCTGCTGGAAATTGGGCAGTCGTGAAAAATACTGAGTGCCAGAACGCTGACATAGGTTTTTTGCCTTATTTTTTAGAAGCCTGGGGGATCTTTTGAAATTCCTTCTGCTCCTTGAAGAAAAGCTGAGCGAGGATGTGATCTGCTGTCTTATGGAAGTAGTCATTCATCCGGAGGGTTTCCAGCTATAAAGGAAAACACGGTGTTTTTAAAAGAACGGTCACAATGACTTGCTCAAGTTTGCAAGATGAATAGCGTGGAGTGGTAACGTGGATATCGTATGGAACTTGAACATGAAAAATAAAATAAAAATAAAGTAAAATAGAGTAAATAAAGTGAAGTAAATGAAAATAAAATAAAGCAAAATAAAGTGAAGTAAAATAAAGTAAAATAAAGCAAAATAAAGTGAAGGAAAATAAAATTACTTCATTTTGCTTTTTTTCCTTCACTTTGTTTTACTTTATTTAAAGTAAAATAAAATAAAGTAAAATAAAGTAAAATAAAGTATGTAAAATAAAATAAAGTATAAAATAAAGTATTCCGTGTGAATTCCTACCTGGTTGCCCGTGCTGTAGGCTAGGATCAGGAGCAAGTCCTCATCGCACACGCTCTTGATATAATGCTGGCTTCCCACAGGGAAAAAGATGACATCTCCAATGTCGATGTTGAAGTTGGCCGTGACGTCAGACGCAATGACCCCAACCTAGAGCAAGCGAAACAGCATTATTAAACACAATTATTTCTGCTTTTTGGGTTTGTTTTTTTACCTCACACTCCCCGTATCCAGGGAAGTGGGAATTCCTATCATGGGCAATTTTTTGCAAAGAGTTCTGCTCTTTCTGTAACTCCATTTTTGATGAGAGAAACTTCCAAAAAATGTAACGGGAAGAAAAAATCTGTACAAAGATGAAATGAGCAGACCTTGAAAGCTTTGTAGGCTCATTAATCATCAGGGATGGGGATCAGACAGTAGCTCTGCAGCTTTTACACAGTCCAAACTCCAGTGATGCAGCAATTACCTTTCCACAGCCACTAATGACGTAGCCCATCTCGTTGGCGTTGAAGTGGAAATGAGGCTGCCCCAGCCCGTTGCTGAATATCCTCAGGGTTGCCAACGTGAGGGTGTTTTCATGCTGAAAAGCAAGACAAAAACGCTCAGGAGCCCCTCGAGTCATATCCATAAACTGCACCTCTGCATGCTGTGGTTGTGCAGTAGGTTTAAATAGCTGCAGGGTCCAGCTGAAAGCACCCACCTGATTCAGAGACTCGCTAAAAATTTTCTCCGTCTCGTTTAACCCGGTTCCATTTATGCGGTAGCGAGCCCACTGGAAGACTCCTCCTGGAAAAGGATATTGGGCTGACCCTAAATAAAAGAGCGGAGAGACACATGAGCATTTTCAACAAGGTGACCAACCTCAAATCATCTGTGCGTGCTAAACTTCAGGTCTCAAATCTCACCAGCCTCTGGACCCAAAAAGGAAGCTCATTTAGATTATTTCTTTGTGTACTAGACACTCTGCACACTAGAAATAATTAAAGTGGCTTATTGTGCAGATTACCATAATAAAAATCTTTAAGATTTTTTTCCTGAATTTTCCTGAAATTACTTCTCTCTTGCATGGGCAGATATCTGCCTTTACACGACACTTCTTCCTGTCACAGATATGATTGATTACTACGGACCACAAAACACTTAAAGCACATACTGAGTTTCAGGGTGTTTTTGTTTGTTCACTTGTTTTTACACTAATATTTAGAACTAAATCCCATCATCTACGTTTAACAGGTGCTCTCTGCTACTCAGTGGGTCTGGTCTGTGCAGAGGGTTGTTTAATAAAAAGTGCTCTCTGCTACTCAGTGGGTCTGTGCAGAGGGTTGTTTAATAAAAATGTTGATAGAACATATCAAAACATTGATATCAAGTGAATATCATTCCATGCTGTTTATAAAGCTGTTTATAAAGGGAGGGCATCGTCAGGTATACGTTAGGGTGTTTATTCATTGAAGTTTCACATGCAAACACCCCCCTACCTCCGCAGAGAGAAAAACTCCTTCAACATGAAACAGTTTAAGTGAGATAAGGCCTAGAGATACTACTGAGGAAAACAGCACCACTTCTTGCTTAGGAAATACCAGTTCCTTTTCTTCCTCTTTTATCTCACTAAATACTCCTCACTCTTCTGCAGAGCTTTTATTGCACGTGCTGGTGAACCAGCTGCAGATGTGGTGCTCTGCGGACCCAGAGCGCTCGGCACAGGGCTGCTGGGGGTACCTTTGAGGTTGTAGAAGTACCATCACACCAGGGGGTACCTCTGAGGCTGTAGAAGCACCACCACAGCAGGCGGTACCGGGGGTACCTTTGAGGTCATAGAAGTACCACCACAGCAGGCGATACCGGGGGTACCTTTGAGGCTGTAGAAGTACCACCACAGCAGGCGGTACCGGGGGTACCTTTGAGGTCGTAGAAGTACCACCACAGCAGGTGGTACCGGGAGTACCTTTGAGGTCGTAGAAGTACCGCCACACCAGGCGCTCCGGGGACTGCACGTAGCTGGCGTTGTGCACGAGCTCCTGCAGGTTGTTGGGCAGGTTGACTGCCTGGTCTTCCGGCTGCTGCTCGAACGTCCTGATGAAGTCCACTCCTCCCTGGGGCTGCGGGACGCAAGGGACACGGGACGTTGACACAAAGCAAAACAGTCCTAAAAAGAAGGTGTAGGGAACATGAACCTGACATGTTAATGTCAAGAAGTCTGGAGAGAAGGGTCTAGAAGAGAGTCTACGCTATCGTACAGACCTTTAATGCTCTTGCTGCTATGTCCTCTGGAGTAGAGAAAAACACATCATCCACATCCAAGGTCTTAAGTTCTTCGTGTGTTGAGAAAAACAGCAGGAACAGACAGTCGTCTTCTCCTACATTCTTCACCCAGTGCACAGTGTTTCTAGGGAAGAAGATGACCTGGCCGGCTGTGACGTTGTAGGTGGTAACCACGCTGTCGTCTGCACCCACTACCCCAACCCAGGCAGTACCCTGTAACACAGCAAAGAAGGGGGTGAAAGTCTCCTCAGAGACTTTATCCACTGTAACCTGTGCGTAGCAAATCAAGGATTCAAAGAATCTGAAATAATAATAATAAAAATAATAATATTCAAGGCAAACAAACATCACCGTTTTTCCTCTAACAAGCCTTTGTGCAGCTGAATCCAGAGGAGTGTTTTAAGTGACAACATTTTAGAGGATTTAAAGAAGAATTTAGTACTGGTTAACATTAGGATATTAAGTTATGCATATTTTTATGTACATATTTACCTTTTCTACCTTTTTTTGTACCTTTAAAGCATCTTGTACATGATGCCTTTAAAGCAAATGCAATTGAGCAAACTGCAATAAGCAGAATGATACCTTGACCAGGTAACCATGTTCATTGGCATTGAAGTGCCAGTGGGGAACTCGAAGGCCTTTGCTCTTGATCCTCAAGGTTCCAAAAGTCATTTTGGAGCGGAAGTTATTGATACTTTTCCCAAATTCCATTTCCTCCACGCTTTCATATTCATTCACATCGTTCCTGAATCTTGCCCACTGGATATCACCACCTGGGAAATGATGCACCTGTAAAGTTAGGGACAGAAGAGAATTTTATTAATATTTGTGGACACATATTTATTAGTATTTTTATTAATGTCTGTGGACAGTGGTGACCAAGTCAATTGTGCTACTCAGTTTATGTTTAGATTTGGGCTTTCCATTTCTGTTTCCCAGATTTCCCTGTAATTCCAGAATCCCGGAGGATTCCCAGAGAACCTGCCAAGGTCTCATATCACCTTGAACATCTGTAATGATCTGGAATGAACTGTGGTCTGGAGATTTGCATCTCTCCTTGGTGATTATAAAAGAAACCTGGATGACAGGCTGGACATCTAGGGCTTAAAAAACTCAAGTGAGGTCAGACAGAATCATTATATTTCATTAGATAATTTTAGACTATTATAGCACAAAAAGGACATTTTACCTTTGATTTTCTCAGCTCATTCAGGAACCGGAATTTGGTATCCACTTCTTTTCCCACTGTTTCTGGGGAGGTCGTGTCCCTGTTTCCAGCAACTGCCTCTGTTACAAAGCCAATGCTTTTGGTGTAGACCAAGGCCAGGACCAGCACTCCTATAGCCGTGGTGATAACACAGGCCAGCAGACAGACTAGAAAGAGTTTCATCAGGGAGCAGGAGCTCTTTCTTTCCTGGAAGAAAAAAAAAAATCAGTAAAATATATAACAAACACAAAAAACTGATAGTTCCCTTGTAATGAATCCGGCAAACCTTTCAAGAACACACACTTTTGGCCACTTTTGCTCTTATAATGTCATCTACCTTGCCATTGCTGACAGTGTTCTGGCATGCCCAAGCAACATCTTGGTGGGGATTTTCAGGTTTCTGTCCCTTTATCTTTTTTCAGATGAACAAAGACACTGTTCTACGGCCTAATGATAAAAGTGGAGAGATTCTGGGTGCACAGCTTGAGGCACCCTTAAAAGGCTGGTTTTCAGGTGCTGAGGGCCTGAAACTCAAGCTATGTACGTTCTTAAAGTGTGCAGAAAAGAAAAAATTGAGAATTACTTACCAATTTTAACAAAACGACCTCCTTGCATGAATCTAGTGACAAAAGCTCTTCTATAAATAAATTTCCCTTGCCAGCAGAAAAGTGCTCAAAGTAACCCCCTCTTCTATGCTATAATAATCCTTCTTACAGTTTAAATGACTCCTGTTTTAAAGCTTGTGTTCAATTAAATATCAAAACAGCAGTACTCAGACCTATTCTCCTTAGCTCCAAAGGACAACACTTCTGACTCAAATGCCTGCAAAACCCCCACTTGTCAGACTTGAATGGCCTTTAATTTACAGCATTTTCACAGTGGTGGCACCAAATCAATAATTAGTTTTTAAAATCAAGAGACTATTGTAGTTATTACATAAGAATAGCTAATATAAACATGCAGTGTGTGGAATAAGTTGTATTTTGAGGGAAACACAAGAAGAGGTGCATTTAGAGCCTGGAAGCATCACTGTGCTGGCTGCAATCAGGTGTCTCAGCGTGAGTGATTTACACCAACCCACATTGTAGCAAGTTAATTCAACCCCCGAGAAGCAACAATTTCAATGGGAAAATTACAGAGAATTACTCTTCTCCAGGGCAAAAAGAAAAGGTTTAATAAAGTATTACACAAATACTTAACTAAGTAGAGACATTGAAGCATTACCATGAGATCAGCAGTTAAGTAGAGCTTCCTGTTAAAGTCAGTGGGGAATCCTCTGAGGATAACTGTTGTATTCAGAGGTTTATAGGAATTTTGCTGTCAACTAAAATGGGTCTGGAGAATCAGGCCTCATAGTCCAGATTGCAGCAAGTGCACATATCATTTTGCTCCGAGTCAGCACCTTAGCAATAGCAGCCCTTTAGAGCTTTTATTTTCCTGTATTTTCCCTTCTTAAAAGCACCTGATTGTTTCGTATTTATTAATAAAGGGTTTCATCTTCAATCTGATTCTGTCTTAGTAATATTTTGATAGCATCATAACAGGAAATAAGTCGTACCTCTTTCTTTGGCCATTCGGGTGTTTTGGACGAACTTGGCATGCTCTCTCCGTGCATTTCAAACGCCTGGTTATCCATCTAGTGAAGCTGAAATGGATGAATCCACAAAAGTCAAGTAAAGCCGTGATCCAAAATCATGTTAATTCCGATATGTTCTCAGTTATGGCACAGACAGCCCAGGGAAGTGACTCATCATCTATGTACAGTAACAGCAATGATGCTCACCATGACAAAAACGTGTTGCAATAGAAACTCTCTTCTTCTCTGAACTACAACAGAGAGGCCTGGCGATTTCCACATTGAGTTTAACATTATTCATGAACCCAAAGACACAGGAGATAGAAGAGGAACCACCAAATACTTCTTAAAAAGGCACCCAGGAACCCTCCAAGGCCCTTAGTCTCCTCCCCTGTGTTAAGGGTCCGAGCACATGTAAATTATTTCTTGGGGATGTTTTGCAACATATTTTACCCACCACAGAAAAAACGTTGAGATTCCACAATGCATTTGGCAACCTATTTCACCACTTGAGAATTATTGTTGCTAAAAAGGTTTTCACAGACCTAATTCACTCTTTCTGCAGCTAAATGCTCTGATGTTCTGAACCTGTTGATACCCCTGAGATATCAACCCCTGAGATTCTACCAGAGATCTACTGATTCCTGGATTAAAAGAAGACAAAGAACCAAAAAAATAGAACGTTTCTTCTGTCCTGCTGGGTCCATTGAGTATTTCCTAGCTCCTGCTCCATGGGCAGCATCAAATCCATGTTCTCCTCTCCAAGCTGCAGAGTCCCAACCTTTTTATTCTCCCTTTTATGCAGCGCTCTGATCTCCTTATCATTTTAGTCACTCTTCATTGGACCTTCTCTACCACCAGCAGAATAATGAAAATACTGAATAGCAACAGACTTCAGTGTTCGTGTTCTCCTAGTATGGCTTTCCAACCAGCACAAGACTTGCCTTGCATGTTTTACACCATGATTCCCTGTTTTGGGGTACACAAGTGTGAAAAGATTTGCTAAAGTCAAGATAAATTACCTTTCCTCTCTCCTATCCTCATCTGTAGCTTTCCTTTTGTCTCGTTTCCACGATATCTCCAAGTTTTGATGATGCCCTTCTGAAGTTTTAGGAAATTAAAGTTAAGCTTATTGCCCTAGAACACTTTGGCATCATTTAGTTGACTTTCTGTTAAAAAAAGAGGTGTGTTTTTATTTTTGTAGCCTTCTGGACTCTTACACGGAGTCCCCAAAGCTTCTAAAAGCTGCTGGGCACAAGCACCTTGTGGAAGGCCTCTCAGAGCCGGTTTTCCTCGCTTAATCTCAGCTTTATCTATTGCCCTTCTCAAGGGGGTGGTAGTTATTTGATTGCTGACGTTTGAAGTAAATAAAATACCTCTACTGACATCATTTATTGCTCTCTGGAGAGGAGGAGTCGAGATTTTCCTGCGTCCTTCCTTGCAGCTAGAAGGGACTTCTCTACTAACCGCCCTGAGCAATAAGGAACTTGGGAGGTTTTGTGTTAGCTTTGACAGGTCTTCCTATTTGGCTCTCATTTTTGGTACTTTGGGTTTTCCAAAACTAACAGAAGTCCACAGTGATTCATATTTAGGGGAAATTCCTGGTATTTCCTTCATGCTTCCTTCCTGGAGAAATTTCAAAGGTACAAGCCATATTATATTACTTTTCCTTGTTCCATATCAATAGAGCCTGTAAATATACATATTTTAAGAACTGCCAAACTCCTGAGCACCTTTTTTTTCCTTACACTGTTTCTCACTGGATTTTGCAAACCAGATCCTGAAGGTGGGTGGGTTTTTTTTCCATATTCTTCCACTTTTCCATTCGAAAAATCATTAAATCCCTATAAGAAAATATTTGTATTTCTCTCCACCTTCTGCAACAAAATGTATCCTCGCCACAATCTAAAACTATTCTGGATACCATATGGAATTCTGTACATTCTTACATTTAGTTTTCATACACCTTGCTTGAGTTTAGAAACACCTTCAACATTAAGCAGACAGATTCACTATCCTGCATTTTTGTACTCTTTCAATCTGCTTATAAAAAGCCCTGTGTCCATATGCCTCTGACTGCCCTCGTGAATCCTATTTTGAAGTCTTCCTCTCTGATTTTGGTAGCTCTAAATTAAAGAAAAATCCTCAAAGCTAGAGCTCTTCTCAGCAATCTTCTCTATATCTTTAAAAATCACGGTTGTTCACGTTGGCGGAATCAGGTCAGGTAGAATGAATGACAGGATTTCAAGTTTTTCTCATTTTCTTGTGAAATTTCCCATTCCCCCTTCCTTGGGGCGAGCCCTTCCAACAAAAATGTTGGGCATTACTGCGTGGGTAAGATGGAAAACTAGGGTAAAAAACTAACACAGAAGCCTCCATCACACAAAGAAAATATCCGTCATGATTTTCAGTGGTTCCATCTCAAAACTACAACACAGTGGGTTTTCCCACTGAGCATTTGAAGGGTAAAAGTCCCTAAAATGGGCAAAATGCCCTTCTACTCTCCCTCCCGCCACGTCCAAGCCGTTTTCTTACCGCAGGGAGGATCTTCGCGCGATCTAACGGGCAGATGCTTTTCCTCCCCAAAGCCTCCTCATTCCCCGGGCAGATTTAATGACATATATATACACAGCTCGTGCAGGAAGTGCCCTGCTCATAAAAGATTTCCTGTATATGCAAATATGCACTATCACAACCACGCGTGGACCTCCTCCACAAGCACTTCTTGTAACTTGCTGAGCATCCGTGACTTTCCTTCCAACCATGCCAGCTATTTTCTTTCGTATTTCCTCCAAATCGTGGCCTTTATCATTGTGCCTGTCTTTTCCTCTGTCCCTCGGTGTCACTGCAGAAGAGATTAGAGCTCAATAAAATTCCTGTCCTCTGACACAGCCTCAACGCTATGAACATCAGTGGCATTACTGGGAAAACAGCTAATACCTCAGTTCAACACTGTATTTACACACTCAGTTCTGGGTTTTATTTTTCCTTGTGGTTTAGGGTGTTTCCATTTGCTGACTAGTGCTGTTTGATTGGCATTATTTTCTATTCTATTCTTTTTTATATTTGTTTTTTGTAACTCGCAGGCGTCACTTGCTTGGTTCTTAGTTACACATTGAAGGTGCTTTTGGGGTTATTGATGCTGTTATTTAGATTTGTCTGCCATGAAACTCCTGATCAGGGACTGAAAGTTGGGTAACTGGATAGAAATGGATAATAATAGTAATAATAATTAAAAACAAGCATTCAGAGGCACAGGAGAGAGTAGAGATGACTCTTGGGCTGAGAAAACACCCAGGGAGTGAAGAATTGCACAGCTGGCTGGGTGTGAAGCTCTCCAAAGGAGAATTAATGAAAAAGGCTTTCTAAGCAGCAAAGCAGAGCTTTGCTTCAGCAGCAAGGCCAAAGTGGGGGGTGTTTTGTGTGTCTTGCCCTTTGGAACCCCACGAGCAGGATCCAAGGAGCCCCAGGGTGTTACAATATCCAAATCCCATCAGGGTTTAGAGCCCAGCTCTCCCGTGCCCAGCACTCCAAGGGGCACCTGCCCCTGGGCATGAATAAATGGGTGGTTTTGCTGCCCTCCAGGCAGGAAACTCACAGTGATCCATGCCAAGGCGTGCAGGAGCTCATGGAAAACGTCGGCTTTCCTTCCGCATCCGAGTTCCTTCCCTAAAACCTCCCCTCTGCTTTAAGAGGTAGGAGTTACGCAGCGGCAGTTGCAGGGCAACGTTGGGTGGTTGGTACATTCCTGCCCCAGCAACGCAAACAACTTCTGCAAACACGTTTCCTAGGAAAGGGGTTTTTGGGGTTTCTCTCTGAATTTGCTGCTGCCAAGAAGGGCCAAGTCCTACCCCTGTCTCCTGTGCTCACGGTGGCATTGCTGAGCTCATTCTACTCTTAGCTAAAACCACTTTTCTGCTTATTTAGGATAGGATGAGCTTCAAAAGCCCAAGCCAAGGAAAACTGAAGGGACTTGCCATGAAAGCAGCAGTCTGCAGGTGGAGCCCATCCGCTGTGACTTGTTCTTTGCTCCCAAACACGAGTTCTTCGCTCCTGAACGAGTCACCTTCTCCTTCCAGAGAGCCAGGCCTCACTGGGATGTGGAAAGGGCGCTGTGGAAAAGACTTCAGTTTGGTTACAAGACATCTGATAAGCATGCAGCTGGCAGAACACAGAGCACACGATTACAACTTAAAGCCCTGTCAAAGAACAGCACTAAATATATGGCATATTTCTTGCTAAACCTTTCTGTTCGACTCCTCACATGCCTCTCAGCTCCCACTTCCTGATAATCCGTGCAGTTAAGTAATGACTAGAACTGGCCAAGCACTTTAATATTTACAGTGTTTATTTTTACAAAGACACAGAGATTCTTCCATGAAAGCATTCGTATTATTTTAGTAAAATATTCTCTAAAAAGATCTCTCTCAACACATGCTGTTACTGTATTGGAAACATGAGTAATTTTTGAAGTGGTGCATGCACAATAATGAAAATGGGTTGAAATACTGAATAATTCTGCCTGAGAATCTGAGCTGGTGCAGCTGCCAAAAAAGATTCAGGCCCCCAGATTATTTGTTACACAGTATTTAAAAGTTCCTAGATATTAGCTTCACAGATTGCTCATTTTTTGTTCATCTTCTTGGTGATCATCAGTTTGCTCCTGCTTGTTGCTGGTATCTTCAACAAGGCTTTTAAGACGAGACAAATGGTGCAAAGCCCTAGGTGAGGAAAAACAAGACTTTTGTCACAGTGTACATACAAGCACTTACATTTAAAACAGCCTGATTTCTTACCAACAGTTTAAAAATTTGAATGGTTTTAGATACAGTTCTCACCTGCAAGTCTAAATCTTGCATTCATTCTATCTTAAAGATTATAAAATACACTCAGATTAAAGCAAAAATGCTTTTCTCAAAGTTCAAATATGTTTTCTCAAATGCAGGTCACACAAATAAGCAGTTTCTACTAAATTATTTAAGTAATAGGTTATTTCACGTAGCACATTAAAGGCTGCAAAATACATCAGAACACAGCTTACCAAGACAAAGTTACAGTTTTTAATTAAAAAAATCCTTTTATTTAACATTGCAGTGTCAGAACACAGCTTACCAAGACAAAAAGTTACTGTTTTTAATTTAAAAAAAATCCTTTTATTTAACATTGCAGTATAGCACTAGACAGCAAACTGAGATTTGTTGAAGCAAATACGTTATAAAATCAAAAGCTGTTTCCCATTCTGCCTTTTCCTAAACTTATTATTCCTTGCTGGTTTATTCTAACAAAGTTTATGGATCACACGACAAGTCTCTCAGCTAATTTATCATTTTTTAATGCACATCTTATGGAAAGTGAATGACAAGTCAGAGGGCCAACAACCACTTACTTCTGAAGAGAATTAGTAACAGGGATCATCTCCCTGTCGCACAGTTCTGATTCAGCACCTACTTTTTCAGAAAGCTAAAAAAAAAGAGAACAAAAAAATATTAATTGATGAAAAGGAAGCTAGCTTAGCTGTAACTGTAAGCATGGGATTTTTATTGCACTTTTCATTGAATTGTGAACAACTCTATTGTACAATTGTAAAGTAATTCATTTGGGAGGAACCTAAGATCTCTACTCCCACCTGTGCTGCTCTTGTTGAATTCCAGGAGGTTTCTGTTGGCCCTTTCCTCCAGCCCACTTGATCCCTATGTAGGGATCATTTCGTTCACTCCTTAGTGTAAGCTTTACCAGGTACAGGAGATTTAAGAACATTTAGGAACTTTACAAACAACTTACAAAGTGACAATAAAGTCCCTGAAATCACTTTGAAATCCAAGGAGCACAAAACACAGACTCATCGACTCTGAAGCAGCACAAGGACAGAGCATTTTGGAATGTCCAATTTTCCTAAATATTGCTCCATGTCTCCCAAAGCCAAGGATTAGCTGGGATGTCGTGGGGATGAGAACAGCTCCCTCAGCGTTGTGAGCCGGCGCTGTCGCCACCTCCTGGGCTGCAAACGCTGCTGGTTTAGTCATGTAATTAGCATCTACCCAGTAATTATGCACTCAATGTTTGGAAAAATGCAAATTAAGTCAAGGGGGCAGAATATATGGACACAAATTAATAATATGCTGTTCGACCAGAATGCTGAGTTCAGTGTTCATCTCATCTCAGAAAGAAAAAAGGTAACAGAAAGGGTTCATTTCATTAAAATGAAAGAGTGAATAATATTAAGTTTTCTGAGAAAGAATGGGGTAAAAATGAATAACTGAGAGTAAATTGAATCTATGATCCAATTCCAAGACAACAGTGGGAATAATAAGAAATATATTACATAACTTACCTCTTGAACTTGACTCAAAGCTTACAGGGCACCAGCAAGGAATTAGTAGCACACACTAACAAGAACACATTAATAACTGAAGCCCTTCTCCCTTTACTTAATATTATTTAAAAATAGAGATTGTAAAAGTAAAACCATTACTAAGCAAAGCATTTTACTGTTGGATGTCTTTATATTCATAACTGTGATCAAGCGTTGGACTATAGGGTTTAATTTAAATAATTCAATATGCTGAAATAAACTAAATTAGTGCAGTTTCACTTTGTGGTTTATATATTTCAGCAAGAATGACAGCAATTTCACAGGCATTCTCCATTTTAATATTTACTGGTCTAATGTGTTTGGGGCACTGTCATCAATAAAATACCCAGCTTTACTGACCTTATTTTTGTTTTTTATGCAGTCTTCTAGGAATTCATGAACAATAGCTGCCTTGGAGAGCTGTAGAATATCCTCCTCGTCCTCACTGCATACAGGCACGGGTGATTTGCTAAAGAAACAAGGATGCAGTGAGAGATTTATAAACTAAAAGAAGTGTTTGTTTGCTAAAGAAACAAGAATGCAGTGGGGAATAAGAGATTTATAAACTAAAAGAAGTGTTTTAGGATATAGCCACTATAATGGGAGCAGATCCACTGCCTCTGTGCAACCCCAACACCCCTCAGAACTCTTCTGGGTAATGGGAAACTCACAAAGGCAATGCAAATATCCTAACAAGGAGTTATAGGAACAGCCAGTATTGATTTCAAGCATTCTTTGGACCTATAAAATAAACTGTCACTTCCTGAACAGTGGAAATTTCACTCCCAAGAGTGCTCCAAAATTTCCCAAGGCCACACTGCCTTTTTAAAGCACACACCCATTAGCCAGTAAGCTCATAAACTATTAAGTCTAACAATTTAAGCTCCCTTAAATATTTTTCTCTTGAAGTCATCACTTTCTGTGTTAAGGATAAAGGATATAAGAGGCAGTATTTAAAAGCAGCAGAAAGTAATACTGATAGCACTTTCTCAAGCTGGTGAAAAAGGGAAAGCAGGGCATGAATCTCCTGACCTGGAAACAGCACTTCACAGGAATCTAGCTATAAATCTTTTATGTATATACCCCAGCACTGCTGCTTATATACAAAGGCACTAAATACATTATGTATTTGCATTAAAAAATTAAACCTATGTTTACTTACAAAGCAACTGGGATATTTTCCCATGATCTTTCTGCTTCCAGTATATCTGTTGTAGACGGACTGTCATCATTTTTCAGAGCATTTGACAAATCGTCAGTTGAAGTCTCCAGAGATTCCTCTGCCTTCAAGAGAAGGAGCTCGAGTTGGTCTTCTAAAAAATAAAGATACAGGCTGTTCAACCCGCTTCAAGCTGGCATTATTTCCACACTATGTTCAATTTTACATAATGCCCAAAGAAAAATTCCTACAGATGAGTTACCAAGCACTGGAAATATTTTACAGATACTGTAGCCACAACACAGATCCTTTGCTTATCTTCATATGACAGTAAGGCATAAAAATCATCTGTACCGAGTGGGATCTGAAAGCTTGTTGACAGAAGGGGGTCTAAAGTACTCAAGCATTTCTCCTCCTACTTTATTTAATACAAATATCACATGCAGCATTCAAGATTTGTAACAGTATTTTTCAAGTGCTTTCATGTTGCAGAAAATACAATGAAGACTATTGCACAAAACAAAGTTAAAAATTATATATTGATACTGCAAATTCCTTGGTTAATTTTCCTGTTATTTTATATAGGTTCTTCTACCTGGGAGACTAATCATGTAAACATACACAGGCATATTATATATAAACTCACACGCAAAATTCACTTTTAAAAATATGGTGAGAGAAGCACTTGAACGAAATCACATTCTCATTTGTTTTGTATCTATCCTGTTCGTGGTTGATAAAAAATTCTGCATGAAAAAAATGGATATAACCACGTATTAAAACCATAATTTAAAACAGGAATTAGAGATGCAAAAGCAATTAACACTGAGATATTAATTTGAGATATCAAAGTTATATCTAGAGGATATCTAATGATACAAAGATTGCTGCTAGACAGCAATGTCCCATTACAAAAAGGGGCTACCAAATATAAGTGTTACAAATATCTCCTGCTCATTGTGCAAAACAGGTACAAGACTGCATGATAAATGATACTGCTTAGCAATGTGGCAGATTCACCTACACTGTGTTTAAGAAACACTCTCTTCCAAGTCAACACTTTATATAATTACTTCGGTGCTTGAAATTCTATTAAAATATTTGGAATTAATGTTATCTTACTGCAAGGTGCTAAGCACGCTACTGCAATAAATACTCTTTGCTATAAAGAAATGCTTAAGTATTAATTTGAGTATTATCTGAAAACTGGAAGTACAGCAGCTGTTTGACTTGGTCAGCTACTAGTAAATGCTTTTAATCATTTGTCAAACAAAAAAGGAGCAAACAAATCCACTGTCCAGTGCAGCCCAACTAACACAGGTAATGCTAGGATTTAAAACATGAACACCACTTATTTATTTAGACACATCCCCCAAAACTGACAAACACATTTTTGCAATGCGGTTACCTCTGAATGGCTGTTTTGTGCGTCTCAAAAAGGAGTCACCAAATTGGAAGCAGGAGTCTGGACTGTCAGAGCTACAACTTTCTGCTACTCCGTTATCACCTGTTAGGTCCAGGCAACCCCTGTGTTCAAAAAATCCATCGGAATCCTCTTTATCCGTGGAGTGCCTCTTGCTCAGAATCTCTGAATGTGGTGAAGAGGAAGTTTCACGTCGTATTTTAAAAGTTGGCCCATTGCTTTTATTAGCTGAATCAGAAAAAAGGTTAGGACTGCTAAGCCAGATGGGGTAGTGAGAATTTGGGATACTGCTTATCCCTGACACACTTAAGTTGGACTTCCCACTGGTAAGCCATCTTGGGTAATTCTTTCCAGGAAAAGCACTAGAGTTCTCTTCAAAAGAGAAGGTTCTTGGATTTTTTTTGGAAGAGACAGAATGGTACCTGTGAGATGCACATGTGCTGTGCTTCTTTTTGTTGAAATTTCCATGGAGCTGCTGATTAAGAACAGATTTGTCATTGTCTTGGAGACGGAATTCCTTTTTGGTATCAAAGGGTGAGGTTTGGTAAGGGCAGGAAGTTGACTTTTTTAGGGATCGTCTATTCCATTCATAATTTTGATGTCTTGATTTAAAAGGACTGCGCTGGACAAAGGGCCGAGATCCATCAGGTGGGTACGTTAACAGGTCATCTGTGGTGACACTGACGGAGTCCGGGTCACGCTCGGCCCTCGGACCCCATCCGGGACGTCCCCCGTGCTCCTCCACGGCTGAAAAAGGAACACAGCTCACATCAACTGCTAAATTCCACGTGGAGAAAAATAAGACTTTTGTAAGATTGAAAATGAAGCACCAAATCTGACTGCATTATTCACCTGCAGGCCCTGAATAGGACGTCCCCCGAGCTCCTCCACGGCTGGAAAAGGAACACAGCTCTCATCAACTGCTAAATTCCACAAAAATAAGAGTTTTGTAAGATGGAAAATGAAGCACCAAATCTGGCTGCATTATTCACCTGCAGGCCCTGAATCCAAGTTCTTGCAAGAGTGATTCCATTTCTAACCAGATTCACGAGAAAAACTTACCAGCTGAAACTTACTCCTCCTTTCACAGTACTCAAAAAGTAAAGGTTCTCACATATTCTATTCTTACTGTATTTGAACTTCACCTTAATCTTAAGTGCTCAGCATCTATCCCTTTACCTGATCCTGATGAAACATAAAAAACTTTAAAAAAAGCAACAATGCAAGTATCTTCAAGCTACCCACTTCCCAAAAGCTCCCTTTTTTCTTACACTCACATTTGGAAAAGCTGCAATGTCTATTTGCAATTAGAAAAACAACGTCCAGAGATAATCATCTTCTCTGATGCATCATGCACAAAAAAGTGCTTTTCCTAAATTGGGAAACATTAGAGCGTTTTTCTGAAACCTTGTTTTTGAGCACAAAGATGATTTGTACAACTGATTGCTTTGCCTTTAATGCATACCAAGTTACTACAACAAGACAAATACTTTTTTTTTTTTAAGATTAATTACACATCTTTATCAATTTGATGCATAGTATAAACTCTCCTTGGATGGCAACTTAGCTAACATTGCAATGATGAATACTGCAGGAAAAGCAAATTTCTAGAAAATATAATTATGTAACAGTATAATTGATGTTGGACAATAAACATGTGGATTCTACAGTCATATGACAACTCCTCACAGGAACTTTTGACAGCATCATTACTACTGAGTTATGGGGAGAACCACTATGCTGAAAAAACCCCCAACTTCCTACAATCTATTTTTAACGACACATTTGGAACTGTGCATTTTGCAAATACATCCCTAATATTTCTGCCTTAACAGTCAGACTTCTTCCATGCAGCATAGAGATTACTTTTCACATATTTAAATACAGCAAATTTACTACAGAACAAAAAAGACAACTAAAAGTCAGCCAAGAGGCCTATACACTCATTTCATGATCATGCAGAAAAGCACATACTATCTAAGACTAGAGCTGGATGATTTTTAGAGAAGAATTATGGCATTAAATCCTTATTTTTACTGAATACGCTCTGATTTACAAAAATAGGCTGTCCTCAGCTATTAGCTGGAAGTAATTTTTTTCTCACTTTCACTCAATATTGTAAGAAAGCTGTATACAATAGACACCTGTAATACACAGAAATAAAGAATGAAGCAAATGACTTAAGAATCACAGAGAAGCCTCAGTGTAATGTATGAAGAGATTATGTCTTTTATAGAACAATTTCTCTGTCATAATCAGAACGCTTATTTTTGCTGGCACTATCAATCAAATTTAACTAGAGGGTGATTTATATTACAAAACCATTTTTTGGATAGCTCTGTTCATGAAATGAGCAAAAGAAAGGTGTGAAGTGAGGAAAATTACAGGCTAAAGAAGAGAAAAAATATCAAGTATGCTATCAACATTGTCCCTGTCAATGCAAGTGTAAACTAGCTCAGGCAGAGTTATCTACTCTCAATCTTCTCATACAAGTTTAAATATTTAATTAAATATCCATTAATTGAAGCCAAGTAATAGGTGAAAAGCAAATTCAAGTCCGTTTAAGTTTACCCCTAGGCCAAGTTAGTTTAGACTACAGACCTAAAAGTACATTCAGGGCAAAACAATAAATAAGAAGCAAATTTTGTTCTAATTCCTGAATACGAAGCAGGATTTAAGGAAACTCTTTCCATTTATAACATTCTGATGTTACTTCCTATGGCAAGGGAACTGGGATTTTTGTCGAGACTCAAGTTTAAGCCATGATTTACCTTGTTTTTAGCATATAGTCAACTATAGAAAACACATTTCCTATTCCATCCTCTGGAATTTGCCACTGCATCCATGAGTGTGGTCACGAGCTCCGTGTCTTTCACAAATTTACCAAGAAAGAATCACAGAAGATGACAAAAGATTGCCAGGCACTGCCAAATACCATTTGCTACATCACATATTCCTTCAAGCAGCCGGGCAGGAAACGCTCCTTCCCTAAAACTCAGCTGATATGAGGTTGTTGCAACAACATCAGCAACAAAATGACAACTAACACCAGACTAAAAGACCTACTTGTAGAAGATGTCACATATCTATTTTTGGTGCGGTGCTTTGGAAAAGGAGCGTGCTTGGGAGTGCTTTGATTTATACAGATTTTTCCAGTGCTTATTTCGGAAGATGTGAGGCTTAGATCAAAATCTTCAATATATGCCTCCAGGGCCTCGGATGCAGAGCTGTAGAGCTTGTCCTTGTAGTGAATCACGCTGCTTGTGTACGAATTATCACTGTCAATGCTGCAGCTTGCCAGAAGGGAAGACACCGTGGAGTCAGGAGAGACGGCCATGGATTCTTGTAAGGAGTTTGCCACAGTGATTATCCAGCTCTTCATTAGAATCTCCACTCATCCTCCCAAGCAGTCTAAATGGAAAAGAATAAAACAGTAAATGATCATTTTCATTGAACTTCCTTCACATAAACTGAACATTATATATGAGTTCTATTTTTATGCTTTTTTTTCCTCCCTAAGAATCACTATTACTGTATGTAAGTCTGACACATACACATGTCACTGCTGGAAAAATGAAAGGCAAAAAATAAAGCCTCTAGAAAAAGAAAACAGAGCGTTTAAAATTGCTCTATTTGGGCAATTGACAGCACAGCCAAGGCAAGCTGGGTTTATAAAACCATAAACTGAAGAGCTTTAAGTGCAGGTTAATTCCAGGCACCACAGTCAGAGTTTTTATGGCCACTGAAAGAAACTCGGTAGCTCATTTCCTTCCTGCAGGTAAAATCCCCTGCCTGGAAACAATCTAAAACAGTGCTGAAGAAGAGACGTCATATAACAAGGAAGAAAAAACCACTAGCTTTATTACAGCAGCATCACACGCACACTGTGCAAACACGATGTTGTAAGGATTTCTATGATTCAGCTGCGCAAAGGACAAAGGAAGTAAGGTAAAACAAAATAACAGCATAAAATAATAAAATAAGGGACGGCAAACACCCAAACGACGCTGGGCGGC